GGTCACCGCGACCTTTCACATTGACCACGCCCATTGACTTCATTTCGGACACGGGCCCTTTGCGTTTGACCCTTTTCTGACCGAACAGTGTGCGACAGGACCAAAGTAAACGTCGATGGTTCACGCCAAGGTGATAGCCTTCGAAAATGGTTACGAGGTCAAGGTCGTAAGTCAAGGTCAAATGTCCCAAAACTGACTTTGAAAAGTCCGAGTTTAGTTTTCTGTAAGATGACCTTGACCTACGACTTTGACCCAATTATCTTTTCTGGAGGACGTCGTCTCTGCTTTAACCTCGAACATTAACTTTGATAATACAGTTAGAAATAAGGCCACGGCAAGCATAAACGCAAAGGGCCCGAGATGGATGGGACGTTTGGACTCAAGGTCAGAGTCAAGGTTACGGATGGTTAACGGTGACTAGTGGAGGTCACCACGACCTTTCACATTGACCACGCCCATTGACTTCCTTTCGGACACGGACCCTCTGCGTTTGACCGTTTTCTGACCGAGCAGTGTGCGACAGGACCAAGGTAAACGTTCATGTTTCAAGCCAATGTGATAGCCTTCGAAAATGGTTACGGGGTCAAGGTCGTAAGTCAAGGTCAAATGTCCCAAAAATGACTTTGAAAAGTTTGAGTTTAGTTTTCTGTAACATGACCTTGACCTACGACTTTGACCCAATTATCTTTTCTGAAAGACGTCATCTCTGCTTTCACCTCGAACATTAACTTTGATAATACAGTAAGAAATAAGGCCACGGCAAGCATAAACGCAAAGGCCCCGATATGGGTGGGAAGTTTGGCCTCAAGGTCAAAATCAAGGTCACGGCAATATTTACACCTAACGGCCAATCCACTGATCAACACCAAATAGTATTTTATAGAAAATGGTGGCTTCGCGCAAAAATTAAAGTATACGAAAATTATATTAATTTTTATGAACTGCAGTGTTAGGCAGCTGGTGCAGTGTGTCGGTTTCCGTCTAAGTGTCTTGTTATTCGAGTCGGTTTCCGTCTTAGTGTCTTGTTATTCAAGTCTAATTAGTAAACAAAGCAAATGGCGTCAAACGGATGAAGTTCTCTCTTGTTAGAAATTAAAAGGTCGGTAAAATAAAAAGTTATTTATCGATTCGGCTGAAATTTGGTGTGTGGTCATTGCTAGCCCCCCTTAACATCCTCTGAAAATTTCAAGTGCCTACGACCACGGGAACTGGTAGAGGTACGAAAGTGCAATAGCGCCAAAATTTCCCTCATCAAACAATGCGTCTTCATTAGCCCCGTTGGTGCAGAAAGGCTCGTCTCTAACCCCCCCCCCCTCCTCCTCCTCCTCCTCTTCTTCTTCCTTCTCCCCCTCCCTCCCTCCCATTTCATTTACAATATTTAGCCACAGAAGGGAAGGTCATATTTTTGTGAGTTACCCGGGTTGAAATATCCACATCAGTATATTATACTAGCCACCGGATGTTGATACAACAACGGCGATGTCAATTTGGCCGTAGTTCCATGACTTACCGAACTGATAAAGCGGAAATTGTGGTTTAAAATTTGAATAAGACTACTTTATGTATTTTATCAAGTCAACCATTGACACGGTATGTTTGTAAATAATGTGATCCCGTAATATCTAAGTTGGTACAGTTTACTCACATTTGATCTTGTCTATTAGTTTGTAGTATTATTCCCGATCTGCTGACAATTATCTAGGATTCGTGCCTTCAAACAGTCTCCAAAAGTCGTCTGTTAGACGCCGGTTTCTTATATACACCTCATGCACGTGCATCTCAAATCGAGTCTGCATTTGGGCGACCCGTAAATGTTGATGAGTTTAGGCCTCCTCTGAATACAGTTGAGTTTGGGCGACCCAAACCATGAAATAAAATGAAATGGGGTTTAACGTTCTACTGTTCTGTTCTATACTGGGCTAATGAAGACGGGCATCCGCCATACAGTGTGCTATGAGGGAAATTTTGCCCGGGCAGCGGTACTATCGCCTACTCTTATATCGAATTCCAACTGCCAAGGGATCTTTTACGTGCATTCCAATGTATACACGGGACCTCAGTTTTCGTCTCATCCGAAGGACTAGACAGATGTCCTTGTCAGGCCCTCCGTCCTGCATCACTGACAAGGGGGAACCACGCCGGAAAATCTGGATGAACTTTCTCGGCCAATGCAGGGATCGAACACCCGACCTCCAGGCTAGCGAGCCAGCGTCTTACCCACTTAACCACGTGATCCCCCCCCCCCCCAAACCAACTCTAATAGTAGAAAAGTGTTACTGTGGCTGAATAGGAGATAAATTAGGTATGTTATTATCTAAACAGTATCACAGAACACAACATAAATTTAGAATTAAACCAGTCTCTGGGAATATACTAAATAAAAGACTTTTTTGGTTGGATTTTTTTCGGAAATCAAGATACGGTACCAGTTATTGAAATGTGGGAACATTTTGGAAGGGCGATTCAGGCGAGATAGTCTAGAGCCAAATTTTATTTAATTTTGGGACTAACATTTAGTAGACAACAATTTTAATTCAGTAACCATTAATTTGTCTGTACGAAGGGGTCGTCAATGGGAATCTAGACTCCAGAGGACCTGGTGAAAAATCACTAGGCTAAACATGTGACCTTATTCCTTCTGGTTGCATGACATTTCGGTCCAGCATCATTTCGGACAGTTCAAACTTAAATGACAACTTCTCGGGCTTGATCTGGCGACGTTTCGGACTCTCTGTCGGACTCGGATTGATAATTAAAAGACTGTTGAAAATTTGTATGATATATTAGTAACAGCTGGGGTTTTTTTTTCATATATTGTGAGGCTGATAGTTGTTTTTTTGTTTTATTTAATTGATTTGGTGATTGTTGAGAAAGCCAATAAGAGATTACCACTGCTTCTGCTTGTTCTATTTTGTTTTGTTTTGTTTTTCTTTTATCAAACAGTAAACGAACAGAATAATTGCAATCTACACACGGCCGTCATTATAGATGATTGACAACTCACATTTTTCCAAATCTAGCAAGGAACCATAAGGTTTCTTTGCACATACTACAATAAAATCAGGATTACCGGTATATCAGCTGTAACTGTCCTGCTTTGATCATTGCCATTTCTAATATTTCAGGGGCGGATCCAGGAATTTTTGCAGGAGGGGTTTTTTCCAGGTTCCCGAGACAATGTATCTCCCCCCCCCTCCCCCATGGTCTATATCGTCATTTTGGCGTATATACATACACATTGAGCTTTTTAAACAGAGTAATTCAACATCTCGTTTGACGTCAATTTTTGGAAGTGGATATTTAATGGTCCCGGACTTGTTAAAGGGACAACAACACTCTTGCTGTCTTGAAAGCTCCAGAAAATAAATAATATCTCTAAGTACTAGATGTTTAAGTGTCCTACTTGTTGTGTAAATTATCCATTACATCATATTTTAGTTGTCCAGAGGGTTCGAAAATATTTTTAAATCGAAGTTACATTTGAAAAGGTTTACGTTAGACGTTTCAAACCATTATGTTGAATTTTTCAAAAATTTTAAATAAGGTGTGTTAAGATGAAATTTGTATCATCAATTAATTGAAATATTCTAAAATAGTACAATTTGTTGACCAGAATAAAGATTGGGACATATTATTCAGTTACAACAAGAGTGGTATTGTGCCTTTAAGTACTCATTGTACTGCTCATAAATATTTTTCAAATTCTCCCCGAAACCCATCCAGACTTGAAAAAGTCCAGGTAAATCTTGCTGCTGTTAATGCCGATTATAGGACCAGGTTTAAGAAAATTTCAAACTAAACACTAGGTGGTTATCATTTGAGGGGTCTGTAACTTCACTACTAAGAAACTATTCTAGATTAACAACTGTGTTATTGGAAGATAATTTTGCAAAAACTGTTAGTTTGCTGAAATCAATAACTGGTTTTAAATTTGTGTACACTACACACGTCAGATGTATTGTCAATATTATGTAAACTGTCTAAATGCTAGAGGAGTGATATTGTTTTTTCTAATGTAAAGTCACGTTTGGCTTCAAGTATTTCTCAGTTACAAGACATATAATCAGGGAATTATGCTATAAGTGTTTTAAATTTATTAGACTCAGTCCCTGAAATGAAATGCGGTTTAACCTCCTACTGTTCTGCTCCTACTGGGCTAATGAAGGCGGGCATACGCCATACAGTGGGCTATAAGGGAAATTTTGCTCGGGCAGCAGGAGTATGGCCTACTCTTATATCGAATTCCAACTGCCAAGGGATCTTTTAAGCGCACGCCAATGTGTACACGAGACCTTGTTTTTTGTCCCGTCCAAACAACTAGACAGCTGTCCTTGTCAGGCCCTCCATCCCTTATCACTGACAAGCAGGGCTGTCGGTAATTTTTCACGGTTGATTAGCAGCACTGCTAATCAAAAAGTCCAATTTTGCCAAATTTGATTAGCAAATTTAAAAATTGATTAGCAGTTTTTCAGTTTCAACATAAAACACCTAAATAACAAGATATTACTTTAGTTCATAACAAATATGATTAGATTCCATTCTTACTAATCTTAGATTTTTTTAGGACTGCCACAAGTACTTGTGACAGTTTGTGAATGTGATGTAGACATTTAGTTAGGTCTTATGTCTGAAGCCAATTCTTATTAGTGACTTCCGAAGCCCCAATCATTTTAATTGTTATTTTTTGTACGTTAGAAATCTTCGTTAGAAAACAATTTCGTCTGCTTTTTATCGTGTATTGCTTTTTTTGTTCAATCGGGCGCACCTCGATTGACTAGACACACGTGATATTTTACGGGAATTTTTACTTTGATTTATCATTTTACAATACGTTAACATTTATTTTTTTATATTTTATTTACAATACGTAGAGGATACACTGGATTTATTTCTTTCAAAATATCATATAATTACTTGATGTCTCGCAACGTGAGTGGTACTACTTGATTCCCCGTTTCCGGTTTAATAGTCCCTATTCATAGAGTTATGTCCCTGTATTATATAGTACCGTATAATAAATTGTGTCTGGGTAGTTCGAGAAGAAAATGTCACACGGAGAATTCAGTTTTGTTTATAAAATTTTATTCAACATTTTATACTCGTTGAAATTGTTGAGAAAGCTTTCTAGTCTTCAAATGTGGATTATCCTTGTGTCAATATCCAAAATGACAGGCACATTAATGATTCGCAGTTACTGCGAATCAAAAACTTTAGATTTTAATTTTTGATTAGCGATACTGGTTGTCGGCAGCCCTGCTGACAAGGGGTAACCTCGTCAGAAAATCCTGATGAACTAAATTGTTTGAAGTAAATTGTGTTGTAGATCTGTGTTATATTAGGTCATTAGGTGATTATTTTCAAACCATTGATTTAAATATTAATGACTGTCTATCAAAGATCGTGTCTTTCAGGGGTTACGATAGACAGTATTGATTATATGTAGAAACTTGCCCTAAAAGAAAAATCAAATTTTGTCAATGTACATAAAATTGCTAACAGACTATTGTGTATACTGGTTGAAACAGTTGATTGTTAAAGAGGATTTAGTAGACAAAACCTAATTAAAACAGCCACGAGAAACTGTTTGAAACCAAATACATTGTCAAATTACATAACATGTCCATCACATTAACAGGCAACGAAACGTACGCCCACAGCAGCTAAGTCGTCCGACAGTCAACAAGTGTTGTCAAATATTTTTATTTTGTCAGTAATGAGAACATTTACAACACCTGAAAATCTGACTACGAGTAATAACCCATTAAGAAATTACATGTATCATAAAATCATTAGGATTTGTTTGGCTTCTAGTTCTGCCCCATGCTAACATTTAATATTATGGATTTAGCTGTTCAAGTTATCAAAAATCATTGAAAATCAATATACTTGTTTGTCTCGAGAACCTAAACACTGGTATTCATTTTCATATATTGCCTTGTGATTCCCTCGTGTAAAGGATTTACTTCAAATCATGATGATATAAAGGGCACAGCCACACAATCATACTAAAGCCTGAACAGTTCTAAACTAGTTGCTTAATGAGATAAATCTGGAGCAGCTAATCAACGCTACTTCAAAATCCGATTGTAAATATCAGAAGTAAAAGGTTTTTTCTTTACTATGAATTCTTTTATGTCCATTGACACTTCTACTATTGGTAAATGATTTACCACAAACATCACAATCATAGGTTTTTTCTCCATTGTGAGTTCTTCGGTGTGTTTTCAGACCAGAATTGGTTATAAATGATTTATCACAAACATCACATTTATACGGTTTTAAACCAGTATGAATTCTTGTATGTACATTTAACTGACTCTTTTGAGTAAACGTTTTACTACAAACTGCACACTGATATGGCTTCTGTCCATAATGAATTCTCAAATGTATCTTCAGGCCATTTTTCTGAGCAAAAACTTTACTACAAACATCACATTCATGATGTTTCTTGATTGCATGAGTTCTTGCATGTGTACGAAAACTTGTGATACAGTTAAATGATTCACTACAAACATCACATTGATGTGGATTACCAGTTTTATCAGTCGTTTTAGAAGATAAGTTTGCATGCATGAAATCTATCGAATTACCACATGTATGTTCTTCCAAGTCTAAATATTGCGTAAAACTAATTTTACAAATTGTACACTGATGTGATGAGCTTTCCTCTTGTTTAACATGTATTTTACAATGTTCTTCTAAGTTAGTGTATTGTTTAAAAACTGCATTGCAAAGTTTACATTCATGCCTTGCTTCAACATCACTAAGTCTTTCTTGCACTTCTGTCATAGCCTCTTCAAAATGTACTGGACAATCGTTATCAAAGTCAACATCATCAGGTCGTTCAATTTTTACATGTATTTTACAATGTTCCTCCAAATCCGTGTTGCGTTCAAACGTTTCCTCACACATCCAACAGCTATAAACATTTGTAACATCGTCAGTTTTCTCCTCTTTAACTAGCCCCTTGTTCTGGTTTTCAACATCGTCAGTTTTCTTTTCCTTAACATGTATTTTTCTGTGGACTTCTAGTATACTGTATTGTTGAAAAATTTCATTACATACAACACATTGATGAAAGGTTTTAACATCATTAGTTTCCTGAAATATATTAAAGCGAGAATTTCATATTTTCTAAGAAAGTCAAAAACATAATTATTTCTATGTCTTTTGCTCAATAGGTTATCAAATCCCTATTATACGATCATGGGCATTATTTCACACCCTTAAAAATCTATGACACAGGAAATAACAACACAATTACCTCCCCTGTTTTGCTATTGACAACATGGGGCAGCCATTTTCCAACGTTGGAATTTGAAGTTAAAAATGATATTTTTGCCAATTTCTCAGCTGGCAATAGCGAATTATAGGATTAATAGGATTATTTTTTAACAAGGTAGGACTGTTTATGGATACCATCTATTTTAAGGCTTTATTTTAATACATTTTAAAAATATAACTTGAAAATTTGCAATTGCAACTTTAAAGTTGTAATGTCAAACGTTTCCTGTAATATACAAGTTATAACCTCATTTGTTGTGGGTTAACTTCCTACTGTTCTGCTCCAACTAGGCTAATGAAGACAGACACACCCCATACAGTGGGCTATGATGGACATTTTGACTGGACAGCGGCACTATGGCCTACTCTTATATTAAATTCTTTTACGTGTACGTCAATATGTACACAGGACCACAGTTTTCCATTCCATCCGAACAACTATACATTGTCCCTTGCCAGGTCCCCCATGAGAGAGAGTTTAATTTCCGCTCTACACAAACTGGGTCATTTCGGGACTAACATATGGTTTGTTTTTATTTTAATAATTAGGGGTCTTTTGCAGTGGGGGAAAACCTGTAGAGAGCCCACGAGGTTGGACAGGGGACCCTATTCCTTATCACATACAAGCGGGGAATCGAAACCACACCACTTATTTTATTGACAGTTTACGATTTCACGTTAAGGTGGTTCTTATTTTTTATCTTGCAAAATGTGTATTTCTCACCCCTCGAAAGTGTTCCTTCGTTTGTAAAAACACCACAGCCAAAAAAGAAATGAAATCCATCAATATTTAGGGGTAGCTCAAGCCTGCTGAAGTTTTACCATTTTTCATATTGCGTCAATATAGGATTTTCACTCAGACGTAATCCATTCCTGCTGCATGTGCATTAGTGTTGAAACTACTATTCGGATATCCGTTAACGGATACAAAATAAGTGTTATCCGAATCATTTTACTATTCGTTACAGTCTTCTGACATACCGTATGCTTTAAATTTAGCCATTTTTACATCTGCTGATTACCGGTACTTTGAAATTTTCCCCAATGATCATGTACGCAGCTTTGAGCATAAATGTTAATATCACGCGTATTATTTAGCGATAGTAACTAATAAAAATATTAAAGCAGTGCAACGAAAACAGTAGTCTAAATAAAAAAATATTCATTCATTCCTTGCGCTGGTTTATGCTAGATAGAAGCTACTTCTTGGGTTTACGGGATACAAGTTAACACTGTGTTTAAGACCTAGGTCACATATATTCTCACTTACTTATTGGTTCAATAGCAGTAGATTATCAGAATGAGGCAAACGACCTTAGCAGAATAAATGTTAGATGTTTTTATTTTACTTTTTTCATTCGTGTTGATTGAGCAAAAATGATAAGTGGGAGGGCCGTGGATTACAGGAGTAGTTATACACAAATTTATTCACCTCATTGATTTTTTTTGGATATCATGGATAGTCTTAATAATTGCAGCTAAAGGTAGGCACGTTTTTCTCTTCGCGGCTCAAACAATTTGCAAATCGAAAGTAAGATTTCATACTCGGCATACACAGACTCATAAACATTGAAATAAGTAAGAAATTATGAGTACATGTATATGAACTTTTGATGTGATTTTGTTCAAGAATTTCACGTTTCCGAATTATCCGAATAGTATTCGGATAGCAAACCAAAGTATTCGGATCACAAATCTCGATCCGATTTTCAACACTAATGTGCATGCTTTAAACCACTAGACCACCCAGTCCTGATTTACTGATGAAGGGCCTGTAAAGGACCAACCCTGAACTACAGTTGTTCATGAGAAGAAAAAAACAAGGTCCATGTGACTCTTGTGTATCCCTTGACAGTTGAAATAAAAGTTGGAAGAAGCGCTGCTGTCCAGGCAAAATGTCCCTCATAGCACGACACATGCCTGTATTCATTCTCCCGGTTGGTTCAGAAATCTCAATTCATTTCTGTCTTTAAACTGAAACCATTTTATTATTATAGTAATAACATATTTACCAGTTCCACGTCACTTTTCTCCACAGGCCTAATACCATTTCTTATGTTTTCTCGTTTTAAATAAGCGCTTCGTGCATAATCGTAACTATGAGCTGACTGATAGGCACTTTGTCTAGCAACTGTACTTGTTGCAGTAGATGACTTGGTTTTAGCTGAAGAGAAAAATTAATTATGTTTTATTGTATCGAACACTAGGTAGCCGATGCATATGTCCTGTCTTTGTCATAGTCCATTACAAAAACATTCAGTGAAAATAGAGAGAGAGGACCCGGAGAAAACCCACAAGGTTGGACAGGCGACCCTACTCCTTGCCACGTACAACCAGGGACTTGAAACCACACCAGTTGACTCAATGATACAGTGTATGATACAGTGCGCGCGTGCTAACCATTCGCCAATCCAACCCCCCTTCAGTGAAAATTATACGCTTAGGCTATGCTGACAATATCTGACTGGGCCTTTATGGGAGTTTTTACTGGTTTCCTTTTTGATGTCATTTTCGGTTGTGCACAGTGCCTGGTCTTATTTACTCACAGAAACATGTTTTTGTGTGAAAATACCCTTGTACCAATAGCATGTATTGCTTAAAATGGAACTGACATTGTTATTACGATTACAAAATTCTTGAATTGGTTAATCAGCTAGCCAAAAATCGTATCGGTGCCGATTAATCGGATGTCCTATAAATTCTATAATAGTGTAAAGTAAATGTTTCTTTCATTGGCTAATGATTGTTTGGTGATCAGTAAATTATAAAATGATGCATGAATATAGCTGATTGTATATTATTTTAGAACATTTCTTTGAGTTTGTGCTAAAGAGATGTTGGAATAAATCGTTTAAATAGGCAATAAACAACATGTAAGCCTACTAAGTGATTAGTTTTGTTATTTAGTTAAGCGTTTGAGCTGTGTAAGACATTTCCACGTTCTGACTTACATCTTAACCCTACTGCTTTAACGGCTAATTAAAAATCCAATACTGGCAATAGTTTAAAATTCACTAGTTCAACAATTCCCATACATCAGTACATAATATTTTTATGTTGACCGAGGGGAGGTTTTTCTCCCTGGATTTAAAATTGAAAAATCGCTCTTCTGATTCATAAAACAAGGACACATATATCTTTCTTTTAAAAGAGTGCGAAAGACTCGCATTCCGATCGCCGCCATGCTGTCATTGTGAACATTTATTTGGTGTATTCAGTTAGTGTATAATGTAATTGCACATGGTAATAAAATTCCGATGAATATGCTGCTAAAAATAGATGGTGCCTATGCATCATTGGTTAATTTAACTGAAATATAAAGCAGAACACTCGCGAGATGGCACATGAAAATTTAAAATGAGAATAATCCCAGAAGAAATATCTATTTTGGTGGAATTTTCAAACGTTTATATTATATTTTGAATAGGGATTATGTTTTTAAACAAAATTTATACAAGCTATATATATTTAGAAATGTTGACAAGTATTTCTATTGGAATAATCTTCAGAACCATTTCTCATACACAACATCACTCTCCTTAATTAATATCAGATCACTCTCCTTAATTTCTAAATCACTCTTCTTATTGAAACTGGGAGTGCTTTTTTAGGGGAGCGATTTTTTCAATTTGTTTATTAAAAGGGGAGCTTTTTTTCGGCTCACATCTGAAAAAAGAAAACGAGTTGATAATGGTTTTTACTCTTACTTGATTTTATGACTTCTGGGAAGAAAAACTGAGTGGGGACAGCAGTTTTACGTAAAGCATTTTTCTTTTTATAGAGATGTGGAGAAATCTTATACTTCATATCTTCCTCGTAGTCACTAGGTTTAAAATGTTTCCCACAGACGTGGTGACTTTTCAACTTTTTGGCAGTGGTGTGAACTGGCAGTTTCTTATTTCTAATGTTGACAAGCCATCGTCGTCTTATTTCAGGGTCTGCAGGAAAGGTGTGAAATGGGATACCAATTTGAGCACTAATCTTAAAATTTGAACAGCCTGGCGCACAACAACAAGCGACCATTTTCAGTTTGGATACAAAATACCTATCTGTATCGAAGCAAATACCAATTATTAAAATGATATTGGCAGCAACATCCGGTGTGGTTCAGATCGTTGATTTGATTACTCTATCGCGCATGCGCATATTCAGAGTACTTTTAAAGCGAGAAAGACTGCCAACTGGATATAGTCAGAGTTAGGTCTTATATAATTCATCTTTAAACAAAATGATTCCAGGATAACTATATCGAGTTTTAATTTTATCTGAGCTGAGTCAGAAACGTGACACCATTGTATAATTGGGTATTAGATCTCTTAAAAATAATTGTGAGTTACTCGGGTACGTCATATCGGAAGAACAACACTTTACATCCGGAACACTGGTTCACACTCGAAATGAAAATGGTTACAAGGGGGATATTGTTTTGTATTTTTTAATATTATAGTTTAAAAACTTTAATATAGTTTTAACTCTGAATTTATACTCCTTCAGTTCAACAAGCCAGTATGAAAAATGGAAATGGTATGTTTGATCATAAAACGTATTGCCACTTTATCCAACAACTTATAATTATAGGAGCTTTTACGCGTGACGTACTTCCGGTGTCTATTTTTAGCCTGGCCTTTTGTATCCGTATCTTAACATGGTAAATGCTTGGGAAAGCGGGGTTTTCCCTCTTTATAGAAAACGTATTCTTTAATGCCACTCTTGATTTAAGTTGCGTGTAGCAATCGAAATTAATTACTGATTTCAAATCATGTCTAAGTTATTATTTTTTTGCTTTAATGACGATATACTGCGTTGTTGTAGCAGGCGATATATGTCAAGCTCGCACGCGGTCCAGTTGACCGCAGTACGCAAAAGCATTACAAAGATGCATTGCTGTATGAAGCCGATTTATATGTTTTGTTTTAATTTTACTGCAAACAATTAATAGATAACATCTGTTTGGTTGTAAAATGCCATGAAATAGAGCATAAGAGTAAATTATAGAATGGGTAATTAGAGATGTTGACCTGCGGTTCCACGAAAGAATTATTCAAGACGATATTAAAATTTAAGCACGACCGTAGCACATCATGCCACATCTAATAAAAAAAAGAGAACAAATAATAATCACGATGTAAAGAATGTACCGAGTCCAGTTACATATTTCCATTCAACAGTTGTTCTCTGAACCAAATACTGAATAAGAAATTGATAAAATGGACACAAATGCATCGTTCTTCTTCTTGGTTGCGGCAAGATAAACTGATTGGATTAAAATTTCACTGAGTGCCAAAAGCTGAGCCAAACGATTTATGTGACTACAATTAACAGAAAAAAAACGGTTTTAAAAATATTCACAGATTCAACTTGATGGTCGTTTTATTCTTTCTGTTATTCATATCCCATCAATCAAGAGGAAAATTTATAAAAATGGCTGAAGTTTTACCCCGTGCACCAAACAACTATTTTATCATTGGTTAGAGCCGTCTAAACGCGGGGAAATTTACAATAGCTATTGGCTAACAGCACGCATGCATAAACAATCTTATTTGCATATTGCATACTATTTATAGTATTATTAGCTGGAATTATTTTCACTTAATTCTAGTTCGGGCCATTGAGCACGGGTCAGTCATCCACTTGTTTCAATTGCAAACGGCCAATTACGGGTCTGGTAAACTTGCCGTACCTTTCCTATATCGAAGTTTTTGTAAATATCGCTTTCTGGCATCGGTCGGTAAACCTTACGCGTATATAGAAATGGCGTTCAGTTCCATTTTATGTAAAAGAAGCTTAATGTACGACGGTATTTTCACAAAAAAACACACACTGGCCTACGGGTTTCAGTCTACGAATAAGGCCAGTGTCTGCGCATGACCGAAAATGACGTCAAAATGGAAACCTGTAAAAGCTCCTATAACAAAGTAAAGTCCAATTGATCACCACTGACAGTCAGTGACAAACTAAATCATGAATGAATGGAATGTGCTTTCTGTTCTACGGCACCAGCATGCCATGGGCACGTGGCTAAACACAATTCAACCACACAAGACAGTGAACACATTTTATATTTTTTATCGAATATTTTATTTACACCCATCCATAGCATAAAGTTTCTCATCACAAGGGAGTTGGATGGCCGAATGGTTAACACATGCACGCTGTATCATAAGGTCTGTCATTGAGTCAACTGGCATGGTTTCCATTCCTCGGTTGTACGTGCCAAGGAGTAGGGTCGCCTGTCCAACCTCCTGGGTTTTCTCCGGGTCTTCCGGTTTCCTCCCACGGCTAAAGACCCCTATGCGCAAGCGAATTATTGAAATAAAATCGAACCATGTGTTTGTCCTGAAATGACCTAGTTAAGCACCACTCCTCTCTCTCTCCCTGCTGTTCTGCTCCAACTATGCTAATGAAGACAGGCATATGCTCTGTAACCTTTTAAAAGTGAAAAACATCAATTTCAAATTCAAATAAATAAAAATATTTTAGATTTTAAAATTGCACATTGAAAAGTAGCCTATACTATTACTGGAAATCATATTTTTATTGTGACTAAATTACAAAACACATGTTTCTGTCAAATTTTCAGAATTAAAAATTTAAAAAGATATATATTGACTTGAAATCTGGTGGTCTTTAGGAGAGTTCATTATTGCAAATGTTATAAGAAATGGACTGTAAATTCTGGAAATTGTTTCCAAACCATATATACCATCAAAAAATTGGAAACTAGACAAAAATTGTTTTACCTGTATGCAGTGTACTACACGTACATACATAGGTAAATTTTGCACGTAAAAGATCCATTGACAGTTGGAATTCGATATAAGAGTGCCGCTGTCCGGGCAAAATTTCCCTCATAGCACACTGTATGGCCTATGCCCGTCTTCATTAACCCAGTTTGGAGTAGGACGTTAAACCCCATTTTATTTCATTTCCTATGTTTTTTATTTCAGTTGAGAGTTAAAAGAGCTTCTCATCAGTGTACTGTATGTAACAAGGTGTTTCAAAACTACAGTCAGTTCGTAGCCCACAACAAAATACATGTGAAACAAGAGAAACTTGACAATTATTTTCAGTGTAAGCTGTGTGATGAAAAATACGAAATCTACGCTGACTTGGAGAAACATTGTAAAACACACGTCAACGAAGAGAAGTCTGTTTACTATCAGTGTAGACATTGTGAAAAACGTTTCCGGCAAAATACAGACTTAGAAGAGCATTGTAAATTACATGTTAAACCAGAAGAATCCTTGGTCAAAGCGAGTATTTTATATCAGTGTTCACTTTGTAAAAAAAATTTCACCCAATATTGTGACTTGGACAAACATGTGTCTCAATGTAATCAGGCACATTCAAATAACAAACATGTGTCCATAATTAATCAGCCAAATTCAAATGATAAAAGCCAATCAACAATATCTGTTAATAATGGAGAACAGACATTAAAAAGTAGTACATCAACTTCAATCAATGGTAGTCTGAAGAAAAATGGCGTAAATAGTTCTAGAGAAAAACTTTATAAATGCAGTATTTGTGAGAAATCGTTCTGGAAAAGTGATAATTTGATAAAACACACAACTAGTCACATCCGGGAGAAACTTTTTAAATGTGGTGTGTGCGATAAAACTTTCCGGGAAAGCAGAAATCTGATAAAACACACCAGAATTCATGTCAAAGATAAGCCATATAAATGTGATGTTTGTAGTAAATCATTCCGTGAAAGCAGAAATCTGATAGAACACACCAGAATTCATGTCAAAGATAAACCATATAAATGTGATGTTTGTAGTAAATCATTCTGTGATAATGATAACCTGCTCAAACATATACAAAGTCACATGAAACAACGACTAAAAAAATGTGATGTTTGTAGTAAATCCTTCCTTGACACTGATAAACTTTTGAAACACACCAGAAGTCATACGAGAGAAAAAGTTTATGAATGTGATGTTTGTAGTCAGTCTTTTTCTACAAATGCTGGACTACAAAAACACATCAAAATACACAAAGGTAAACAAAATCTGTAAAATATTTTAAACAATTTCAGAGCCTGTCCATTTTTCTTTTCTAGCTTAAAGGACAATATTGGTGTGAGTCATTATTACATATGTGATAGAACTGGTTAAATACATTCCAAATATGATTTTAACACAGAGATCATTGCTACGGGAGACTACATGTAACAAGCACGTGAAGAAACGGAAAGTGACGCCAAACATGACAAACACGAGTTGTCCTTCTATATAACTGACTGAAGTAATGAGCGGTAACAGACAAACGATTGAATTTCATTTCACTGATAATTCCGTTGAAGTTGAAAAGTTATTATATGGGACGGTGAGAGGGTATCTCACAATTCAAAAATAGAATTGGCTGTCACTAGATAAGGGACACGAGAAAATAGAAAAATCCCGTGCATTCCCCTGTTTTTATTCATTCTGTTCTTAATAAAAGCATGGTAATGCACAGACTTTTTCTAATTTGTTCGTTATCTTTTATCTACTGACAGCCAATTCGTTTGTCTGTTATCGCTCGTTACTTCAGTCAGTTATATAGGAAGACAACTCGTGTTTGTCATGTTTGACATCACTTCCCGTTTCTTCACGTGCTTGTTACACATCTCCCGTAGCAATGATCTCTGTGTTAAAATTATATTTGGGATGTATTTAATGAGCTCTATCACATATTTTATAATGACTGACACCATTATTGTCCTTTAAAGATGCGTATGTAAGAGCTAAATCGACTTATTGCAGATCTGACTGTTGGACTCAATGTTATATAAATTAGACATTTATTCACATGAAAAGCCCATGATCAAATCTCTAGGTCATTGGATTGATTGGATTGAAACACGATGTTCATTTAAATTAAAAATGGATGATCAAGACTTCAGACTTTGTTTATTATCGTAACTACAGTAGCAGTAAAAAATCGAGGCTATGCTATTCTTCAAACATTCCCCCGGAATGAAGTAATGAAATCTGATTAAAGCATCCTATTTCGTTTCGTTTCTTTAGTTCAAAATTTCGTTTTACTTCACTACACTAGGATCAGGAAGAGGTGTTTTTTACCTTGCCTTTTGGTTGATGTAAGGGATTATCCAATGAAATGATCTGTTATGGTGAGTTCTTGGCGTGCA